ACAGCATCGCCTTGCTCAAGATGACTTGTCAAGCAATCTTTTGCACACAGCACTCGGGAGAAGTCCAGTGAGAACACGTGAACGCCGGCTCCCCCAGAACTCCGCACGCTGCCCACTGCAGGAGTTTCCCAGGTGGCAGCCTCACCTTTCCAGAGCCGGCGGGTCAGCCGGTGATCTGATAGGAAGTTTGCAAATCCGTTGCTCTGCAGCTCCAGTCTGCCCAGCAGGCGGCAGACTTTGCATCTAGAAAGACTCCTGTGGCCTTCCTAGCACAGGTGAACAGGCACATTTTGGATCATGGTAGCATGCACTCCAACGGATGGTTTCATGAACACAACGCAGATCAGCTTTGGTCGTGCTTAACCCTCAACCCGTTTGACGTAATCATGTCATGACCAGCAGCTGGATGCTCAGCTCTGAGCTTGGTGGTCACAAGGCCAAGGAGTGTGGACTACCCCAGCGCAGCAGTTCCCTCCACGCCACCTGGTGAGCTTTCAGGCCCGCAGACTGGTTTCTTGTGAATGCCAATTTGGTGTTTCACTTGCACCTGGGCTGTGTGCATTTGATGTTGTTTGTATCTTTATCCCGTGACCTTCCAACACGTCCTACGAACACATTCTTGTGAAAGTCCGTCTTGCCGCTTGTGATCTTCCCCTGTTCATTTGACACCGTCAGCTTCAACCCTGCCTGTAGGATCCGATCAATTCCGCACAGCTCAGAACACAAGGATTACATTGTCAGCTGCCACATTTGCCACGACCTGTCCAACTCATCCCATTTGCTGGAGCGCTTAACCACGCTTGGGGGGGGAGGCTTACTGGATGATTCTTTCAGAAGTATGGAGTCGCCCAGGCCCAAGCCCGCAGGCTCCCCGTTTCGGTTTGGTTTTTGATCAATGCAGCATCTCCTGATGCTGAGGGTCCCAGGGTTGCAAAGGACAACATGGAGCAATTCAAGTTTGAGATGTTGTGGCCTTCTGAGGCGCAGACCCTTCACGAGCCCAGCAGCCTCGCGGCCTCACGGGCTTTCCAGGTGGAAGATTTCCAAGGCTGCGCTTTCTGCAGTGCATGTGCGAATGGCTGCCAGGTCGAACACTTGCAACTCCACACTGTCAAATTCGGGTGCCTGGGCTTCACGCGCGCAAACTAATTGCCAGTGGCGTTAGCATGCGTTAGCTCCTGTGGTTGAACGTCCAATTTTGCTTGGCAACACTCTTGTCCTGCTTAAGCCTGTAGACGTTGAAACCTCGAGTGGCTTGAGGTCGCGATGTACTGCGACCTAAATCCATCATCGTGGAACCTTGGGCATGCAGTACTGCAGCATGACATTTGCTCAAGACGCAGAGCATCTACCTGAGACAAAATCCTGCGTTTCGCTTGACGCCAGCCGTGAACAGTACTCAGTCTCAGAGTCACGCTCCTCGGAAT